CTCCCTGCTCCGCGGGAAGCCTGCTTCTCCCTCTCCCACTCCCCCTGCTTGTGTTCCCTCTCTCGCTGTATCTCTGTCAAATAAATAAAATCTTTTAAAAAATAAAAAGAAAGCGAGAAAAAATGATGATGGAGTGTACACACTGCGGCCAACAGGAGCAACAAACGGATGTGAAATAAAAGCCCGTGTTAAAACTTATCATAACTGGGGAGTAGGAGATAAAGCTAAATACACTGAAAATATGTCACGAGGAATTTACAGACTAGATTGTAAAAATCTTAGTGGAAGTGATGAGAGCGATAAAGAGGATGAAGAAGGAGAAATAAAGGGCCCAGGGAACCCATCTACTAGTAAAGCTGAGGCTTCCAGAAGAAAGATGAGCCTCAGGATCGGGAGAGATGAATAGGGCCCTTCACTCTTCAGCTAGAAACTGCTGTTGCCAGGACACTAAGTCACTTAATCACTTCGAAGATTGCTGTGTTACCATATATACCTCTGCTGTAGGCTAATTAATAAAAAAAAAAAAAAACTTCCTGAAAGTACTGATTTGAAGTCATCTTTTACTATAATATCTTGCCTTTTTTGTTACAATTTAACACACTTAAGTAACTTAACCTAATTTGCTGAAGAATTTTCTTTCACAAGCATTTACCTTTAAACACTGAAGCACTTGTAAAGAGAGAATTACTAGAAATAACTCACTTCGATACAGGACTACGTAAGATGTTTATTTAGAATGTGGTTGACTCCTCTGATGACTACTGGTAACTGACCAGCTTCCCCGTGTTATAAATATGAGTTGTGACTACCCCGTCCTTTTTAAGATGATGTAGGCTAAGCTTATTATAACTACCACCTGCCTTTCTGGTTACTTTCATATTTAGGGAATACAGAACTATGTTCTGGGGGATTAGAAATTACCTAATATTATACTAAATGAAGTTTTCCCAATGCTCAAAATAATTCAGAATTTAATAAAATTAGTGTTGTCTTTAATTAGCAATTAAAAGTAGAATATTTCCTGCCTCCTGGATAAATGGATACCTGCAACCAACCATTCCTGAAGAAGGAGAACACTAACAGTTTTGAGTGACTCAATTCATGGATACAGTTATGCCTTTAAATGTCTTCCACTGTGAATAACAGTGCCTTTCAATAGGTGATCTTTGAGATCAAGGGTCATATTACTTGCTAACAAATTATTATTTGGGCCAGAAGTTCCTGAACATTTCTAACTGAACTTCCCAAATATCTCATGCCCCTAGTTTACTGAGCATTATTTATTATTTGATGTAGAAATTCCACATAATCACTTCATGCACATTATATCTCTGGATTTTGAAAATTTGCAATCTTATTAACAAAAGTTGAAGGTAAGACTTTAAGACCTTAGCATCTAGCATTATTTAACTGCACATTTTACAAACCTGAAACCTGAAATATTGACATAATATTTTGAATATATTGGGCTAAATAATTAAATTATAAACAAAAGAACCAGGGACTTCATGTGAAACCTAATGTGACCAATGGCTACTTTTTGAAATGCACTAAATTCCAGAGATAATTACAGTATTTCTTGAGTACAGTGTTATGTTTGGTTATTATGGTCTTGATGGCTAAAAGTATGACAATTTTCCAGTTGCTCCCTTTACGCTTATCCACTCAATAAATAAGCTGTGATTGTCCAAAAAAGGAAAAAATAGTTCAGCCTAGCCCCAGTCCGATTACCAAGTAGAAATTAATAAAGACCCTAATTAATAAAGAATCAAAAGGTTAGGCTATTACATAGTCTTAGGTCAAACTGTTGACGCATGCTTTGATTGCCTACCCCTCAGGTTGCTTCCATTATGGGTGATCACCAAATGACCAGCCCTAACTCCCCCTCTCCCCAGGTGGAAGGGAGCACGTGATACCCACCCTCCTCGCTAGTTGGCAGGAGTCAAGGCATCAGTGATCGGAGGAGGTCTCTGCCCTGGGAGTCATTATACATGTTGTGGTCCTGCAAAGGGTCAGAATCAACAAAATACAGTTCCCCTGCGTGGACGTCAGAAAAGTTAGCCAGAAATTCATGGGGATTGAAGCCAACCCACACAGTGTACCGATAGTCTATCGTGCGTATGGAATAGCCCATGACTTTTATATCTTTTAAGCTCGGCTTGTCAGAATTCCACTGGGGAGAATCTGCAGGCCGGGGGTACTGGCTATAGGCAATAGACTCACGGGGATTACCACGAAAGTACGGGTCCTCTTCCAGGTCTTGGAATCGGAAATGCTTCACAAGGCTCTGGCCTTCTCGGCACCGCTCGACATGAAATGAGGGAATGGGACAGCGAGGTGGCACATGCAGTCCCGCAAGTCCCGCGAGTGTGGGGGAGAGAGAGAGAAGTTCCACGAGGTCTGTGACTTGCCGGCCTGAAACGGGAAGCAATCCAGCTGAACAGACTACTTTACAGAAGCCTGCACAGCTCACAGGATGAAGAAGGGAGCATGTCTGGGCTCCACAGGTTGTCTTTTGTTCTCTTGCATTTATTTTGGGCCCACGAGTTTAGGAACAACGCCAACTTGGCACCTCATCCCACAAGAGGATGCAAAATGAAGGTGCCCACAGCCGGTTGGCACTTGTAAAAATCTGTGACTTTTGGAACCACCCGTGTAATCACTGATTCAGGCAAGGATCATCAACAGAAGCCCTAACCATTGGGTAAAAATCTGTTGGGGGACAGGATATTCGGAGTCTCAGTAGTACCACCCTGCAGATCACTCCCTCCTGGACATCAGCACATGCCCTTTAGACTGTGGCAGACTACAAACAACATCACGTTTACCATCTTGATGTTCTGTAGTGTCCCGTTCAGGGGCATTAAAAACATCCACCCTGTTGTGCAGCCGTCCCCACCATCCATATCCAGAACGCTTCTCACCTTCCTGAACAGTCATCTGTCCTCACTGAACACTCCCTTCCCATCTCCTCCCACCAGCCCCTGGCACCCACTATCCTACTTTCTTGTCTCTATGAACTGGACTCCTCGCGGGACCTCGTGTAAGTGCAATCACATGGTATTTGTCCCTTTAGGACTGCTTCCTTCAATGACCACAATGTCCTCGAGGTTCCCCCATGTTGTAGGTGTCAGAATGCCCTGCCTTTTTTAAGGCTGAGCAACATGCCACTACACGGAGAGACCACGTGTGGCTTCTCCATTCATCTGGCAATGGACACGGGTTGCTTCCACCTTCTGGCTATTGTGAAGGATGCTCTGAACATTCACGTACAAGTTTTTGCTTGAATACCTATGTTTAATTCTGTGGGATATCTACCTAGGAGTGGAACTGTGGAGTCACATGGTAACTCTACGTGTAACTTTGTGAGGAACCACTAAGCCATTTTCCACAGTGGCTGTGCCATTTTACCTCCCCACCAGCAATGTGAGGGTTCCACTTTCTCCACGCCATGCCAGTGCCGTAGGTTTCTATTTATTTTGAGAATGGGTATGAAACGACATCTCATTGTGGTTGATCCATCTTTAAAGTCTCAATCCTATACTTTATATTGATTCCTGTTAAAACTGATCTGGGCTTTGAGCCATCATTCTGGCCTTTCTGGATCTTTAAGAGTTAGCTTTATACAGCCCAATTTTATTTCCTACACATTTGGTAAGTAAAAGAAAAAGAAAAAAAGTAAAGCAGCTTAAAAAAGATACTTTCTACAATGGCAAGACCTGGCTGGCATGACCACCTTCATCAGGTGATCAAATCTGGCACCACTAACAACAGCGAAGGCCACCATGAAGTGCCCCCACTGTGACCCCACCTCACGTGCAGTGCACGTGTCAAAAATGTTTACCCTGAATCTAGTCATGAGGAAGCAATGAGATAAATCCAGACTGTGGGCTGTTGCAAAGACAGCTACCTGGAATGCTTGTAAAAAGATGAGGGCAAGGAGAAATGGGGGCCCAGATCACGTCAGGCCTTGTTGGCCATCATAAGGGCTTTCACTCAGTGAGACAGGAGCACAGAAGGCTCCAGAACAGGGCTGTGACACCCCCTGACTCGGGTTTTGACAGGATCACTTTGGCTACTGTGAGGAGGAAGAACTCCAACGGGCCAAGGGCACAAGCAGGACGACTTCAGGAAGCTGTTGCAGGAATCCAGCAGGACATGTGGCACTGTGATCCAAGGTGGCAGCATGAGGCGGTGAGAAGCAGTATGGCCAGACTGAATGGAGAGCGATAGGCTTGCGGACAGACTACATATCACATATGTAGGGAGGATGGGAGACAGGCAGGGGTCAGGAGGACTCCACAGTTTTTTGGCCTGAGTAAGCACGGCCATTCCCTGAGAGGGGAAAGACGGTCAAAAGAAAGGCTTACAGTGAAAGGCCAGAAGCCCAGCTTGGGCGTGTTAGACTGGCCAAGTGGAACAGGCTGTTGGAAATCCCAGTCCAAAGTTCAGAGAGGAGACAGAGGCTAGAGATAAAATTGGGGAATAAACTGGGAACAGTGCAGTTACATGAATTTACAACTTGCTGAACACCTCCCCAAAAAAGTTTCAAAAAACATTCTCAACCTGTCAGATTTCTCCAAGCAAACAGAGGGCTATAATCATGCCCTGATGGTTTAAGCTTTTTATCAATGACTTGAAAGAAGACAGAGTATGCAGCATACAAAAATCAAATGTAGAGAAAATAAAATCGGGCCATATGAAGCAAACTTGGAAACATCCAGAAAGGCCAGAATGATGGGCCAGAACAACAACAACAACAACAAATCAACAAAAATCAATATAAAGGACAAGATTTAGATGTTAAGTGGATTTAGATGGATTAAATGCAGAAGTCCAGAAAGGGGGCAACCTGGTTTTGCAGAGTTCATGGAAAAAGTACTCTAACTCATACACAACTCGTCTCTGTGCTGAGCAGATCAACTCAAGAAAGAACTGGCAAAGAACCTACACGGGTCGCCCCATGCGGCAGCAAAGGGTATCTTGTTCCAGGGACACTTCTGGAAATGTTTTCTTTAAACTGGAGCTTTGGGGAAAGCAGAGACCAGGATAACCATGGGTCTATCACTACTGTGAAGGAACTGCAGGCCTGGGGGTTTCCACCTAGAGAGGAGAGGTATCAGTGTCGTTTGCAAGGCCGGGACGGACTGACACGTGGAAGTCCAAGTAAACGTGCCCTTCACTGCTGGGGAGGGCAAGGCAGAAGCAGAGTCACCTGGCAGACTTTATAGGTCTAGTGGCTCACTAGACTGCTGAGCTGCCAATGTGGCAAATGCCTCCCTCACGAAGGGCTGCGTCCCTGCCCGAAGGGTGCGGGTAACGGAGTTCTGCTCATCTGTCGGGGGCAGGCTCCTGCCCTGGAGGAGTCTGCCGCCCCCTTCCTCTGAGCCTCGGAGCACATGGTCATCTCCACCACGACAGTCCTCCTCATCCTGGGGATGCTGCCTACTCCTTCGTCCCACCCCCTCTCCAGGCTCCTCGTGGACCGGGGCCGTACGTGTTGGCTCCGGCCCTGCCACTCCTCCCAGACCCAGAGGTACTCAGGAATGCCAACCCTGGACAGGAAGACAGGGCTGGGTAAGGCCCGGGCTATGAATCGGTGAGATGGTTTGCATATAAAGTAGAGGGAGTTTACTATCAAGCAATATCACTTCAGCATATTTTATACCTGGCTCCATCAATTCCAAGACAGAATCGAAAGGGTCGATGTAAGGGAAAAGCTTCTCGCCTGCCTCTGGAAGTGGAGCTGTCCTCCCGGGAACATAGAACATCAAGGGCACGCGAGTAGTGACGTCAAAATTGCTGTATTTGGCCCACTCTCCATGTTCACCTAGAGCCCACCCTGGTTCACAAAAAGCACAGAGTAAGAGAAAACAAATAATGACATCACAGCTCAGCTTGTTCATTTAAGATACCATTTCACTCCCTGCTGTAGAAACCAGAGGAAGCAAAAACTCATCACACAGAAGAAATTCCTCTGTAATTACCACAAACAAGGTGATCTTCCCTAAATACTGCTTTATTTGAAGTTAGACATTTGTCTTGAATGAGGAAACCTCTAAAAGGAAAAAAAACATACTAAATTCCCAAACAAAACTATCTTCTTTTAGCAAGCAACTAACACTTGCACCCAGCTTGGGCTCCGAGGGCCCAGCGCCCCCATCCCCCGCACCCTGCACGCAGGCCAGGCCTCCCCTCCTGAGAGGGGCTCGTCCTGACTGGGCGGGGATGCTGTCCTGTCCTGTGCTGCCCTCTCGGGACACAAGTCCCGTGGGTTCCACTTTCCACTTGAGGGGGTGCACCACCAAACCACGAACTGTGATGCTGCCACATCGCTCACCTTTTAAAAAGGCAGAGATATCTTGTTCAATTGTTAAAATAAAGCACAGACCAAAAAAATAGAACTTGATTGCAGACCCTTAACCTTCATAAAAAACACAACCCTCTTAACCCTGATTGAAAACCTTCCTTGCAAAAGACAGCTTGACCACTCGAGCTGGAAATTTCTAATGCTGTTTCTAAGCACCCTTTTTGATATAAAAAAAATATAAAAAACAGAGATTGCACCTTGAGTATTTCATGTTACAAAATAACCAAAGCCACATAAAGCTGCCATGTATGGATTCGAGAGGCTTTTGTGGTTTGGAGGCAGGGAATCTCAGGAGGGCCATTTGAGAAGAGCCATTTGTAATCAATGCAGCGGCCTTAGAGCAAAGAGAGCTTCTGAGTGGGCCTTGCCTTCTTCCCGGGCACAGCGGATTGTGTTAGCGCTGGGACAGGAAACTAAGCACTGACAAGAGGGGTCAGAAGTGGATGGCAAACCATTAGGGAGAGAGCGAAACATTATGACACTTCCGTATATAACAAAATAATGTGGGTCTTTACAAGGCTTAAGGTAGGCCCGTGAGAAATCACATGGAGAACTGTCCGTGACATTAAGTGGAAAAAGCAAACCAGGGAACAAAAGAGTTGATAAGCACAATCGATCCTGCCTCGTCCCATGACTATATATTACATACATCCCCACGCCCGCACACACCACAGCCACCTGTCGCTGCACAACCAAAGGTCTGTCAGCACCAGGTCGGCCTGGGCAGGTGGGATAAGAGGGAAGGGCAGGGTGGTCTGGCCCTACATTGTATGCTCTCTATGCTTTTTTCTTTTTACAACGACTATACGTTGATATCGTCCCATTACATAGTTGACGATACTAAAGAACTGTTTTCTTATCTCTAAATATGATAATGGTAGTATGATTATATTTTAAAAGAGCTAAATTTTTTAGAGATACTGTTCAGAAACCTAAACCACCTGGGATTTGCTTCAGAATAATTTGGGGGGAGGGGAGGGGTGAGGATGAGCCAAACAAGACCACCGGGAGTGGGTAACTGGGGAGCACAGTGATGGGGACTGGGGGTTGTTGTTTATCCTCTATTCCTGGACATGTTAAAAATTTTCCAATTAAGAAGAATCTTTTTAAATAAATTGTTTCCATTTTTGGAAAAAGTGGGAAACTGCCTTAAAAGAGAGAAAGCATTGCAAGCCCCAGGCTCTTGGCAGAAAGAATATAGGGACTGGGGGTGGAGGAGTGAAGTCAGGTCCGAGGGCCTTGTTGGGCCGTGCCAGGATTGTTCCGGATCCTCCTAAGAAAAACTAAAAGTCCTCCAACCCTCTAGATTGGAAGCATGGGTTAAAAGGGCTCCCCATACAAATGGAGGGTTCCTGCTGAGTTCATCCAGAAAAAAAAGGTTCCACGAGGTCCCCACCCAAGCATCCAAGATGCTCCTTGGACCGAAAAGGGGCCCCACCTCTACGGAGAGAGGTCCCAGGACTAACAGGCCATCATAAAAGCACCTCAAGACCCCAGACTTGGGGCACTGCTGATTCCCAAAAGAGAACACGCCTGTGTTTAAGGCAATCTAGAAAAGCATGTTTTGCAGAGAAGTCCAGGTGCTCTGAGTGACTCCCCAGGGGACCGGAAAATGCTTACCATGATCGGAGACAAATGCAATGATGGTGCTGTTAGCCAGCTGGAGATCATCCAAAGCATTCAGAAGGCGGCCAACCTGCGCGTCCAAGTACGAAACGGAGGCAAAGTAGCTCTGGCGGATTTTCCGCTGCACGTTAAAGGAGGAGAGTGAGTGCCACTTTAACCGTGTGCACAGAGCCGTGTCACCTCTGCTGATGCCCTTGACTCGCTCAGCCAAAACATAAAGCACATTTCCCCCCCATCTGTGTCCCTGGGCCCACATGCTCCTGGCGAAATCCAGGGTCCACAGCAGATCCAAAAGGAAGATTCTTTTCTAAGCAAATCAGATTTCACTTTAGGGCACAGGTCACAGCGGACGGATGTGCCACTTACTGTCCCTTTCTGTCTCCTTCACCTATTCTTATGGGTCCCAGGAGGTGACCATGTAAACTAAAACGCACCCCTCCCCCCCAGTTACTCCAAACTCTGCTGAGGGTGGCACCAAAGACCCAACGAAGTTCTATTCCTTCCCCAAGGACCAGAAACCGGGGGGCTTAGAACAAGAGACAGCTACTGAGATGCAGGGGTGGGCAGAGCCACGCTCTCCCCCAGGGCTCTGATGGAGGGGCTCGTCTCGTGCAGCTGCTGCTGGTGGCTGGCAGCCTTGGTGTTCCTGGGCTTGTGGCCGCATCACCCCAGTCTCTCCCTCCATCCCCACATGGCCTTCTTCCCGGGTGTGTCTCTCTCCTCTTCTTATGGGGACACCCGTCATACTAACTCGAGTATGACCTCATCTTAACTAATGACATCTGCAAATGACCCTAGTTCCAAGCAAGGCCCCATTCTGAGGGGGTCAGGACTTTAAGTTTTCGAGGAACACAACTGAGCCCATAACAATGGCCATGGCTGGGTCTTTCCTCTGACTACCTTTTAACCCAGCAGGACGGCAACTGCTTGTCCTCACAGACTGTGGCTTGCATGTGAGGCTCATGTCTAACAACCTCCCAGCAGGCAGAAGAGCAATGGAGGGACCCAGGCTGGAGGCCAAGGGAGGCACTGAGGCGATTCAAGGTGAGTTGATGCGATCTGGGCTTCACGTGCGTGAGTCTGACAACAGCCCAGAGCACCTGTCAGGGGATGAATGGCGCTAGATCAGTGCTGGGCCCGTAGGAGGAGCTTGACAGACACTTGTTGAATGAACAAATCGAACCCAGACCGACTGCAGTGGTCATGAAAGACGTGACAGAGCAAGAGGGCAGTACGGATCTGAAGGGAATGCAGGGAGATCCAGTAGGAGTGCGGGCAGTGGAGGAAGCCAGCGGGGAAGGAGATGAGGATTCCCAGGCTGACTCCAGGTTTCTTGTTCAGCTGGTGGCACCATTCAATGGCATGGGGAGCACAAGAAGAGGAGGAGGGGGAGGAAGGAGAAGAGGAAGAGCAGGAGTGGTGGCGTGGCCCCATGGGTCCTAGGAAGCAGAGGTCTCCACAGGCAATTGCGTGGCAATGACCCTCACAGGCAAGTGGACAGACATGTCTGAAATCAGGAGCAAGACTGGGATAGGAGGAGAGAAGGGGCAGGAAGGTTCCAGTGGGGGCCCTGGGGCTGACCCAGTGGAGCAGCACCTCCTAAGCAGCAGACACAGAAAGAGGAAGGGGGCAGAGAGGGCCCAGGAGGACCGGTGAGGGGGCCAAGGAGGAGTGGCACCAGCCAACAGTGAGAAAGCAGCAGGGACTTTGGGAAGGTTAGGTCCCACAAGGATGAATTTTATTCGCCAAGGTCAGTGCCGACCTAGGTAAGAGCGCTGAGTGGGCTGGGGAAGCAGGAGGCTGTGCAGAAGCGAATGAAGAACGAACGGACACTAAGGCCACATTTCCCTCCTTCTCCCTTGAAGGGCAGGTGAGGGCATGGTGTCATCTGCTGAGAGATGGTGAAGAGGGGTGTAAAGGACAGGAGGTGTGCAGCCGCACGGGGCAAGAGAGTCCTGAGCAGAGAGCCCTCGTGGGTGGGCTGCTGGGGCTGGAGGCTGGGCCTGTGTGTCTCCACCTCAGGGCTGCACGGATTCAGTCCAGCAGTCTCAGGACCTTGGGCTTAAGAGCAGAGTGGTGGCTGGACCGTCCTGTGATCGGGGCACAAGTATTTCGAGGGGCTGGCGAGAACAGTAAGCCACCTGCCCAGGAGCGAAGCCCAGGGGGAGAGGAGAAGTCCCCACTCACAATCGCCAGGAGGCGTGTGGGGAACGAGTATGTGGAGTGAAAGCTGTGAGAAGAGACTGTGGTCAGGGTGGTGACCGAGGAGGAGCCGGCCTAGGAGGTGACACACCCCCGAGGGTGGGCCCTGAGGTCCCTCCCTCCCGTGGAGCAGAGCGAGAGGCCTGGAGGCTGAAGAGGGCAGAACTGAGAGGCTCAAGAGTGCAGGGAGATGCGGCCTGGGCGCAGACACCCAAAGCTGCCAGAGAGCAGTGAGCAGGGCCCAAGTTAAGGAGAATGTGGGGCAGGGAGCAGCACGCAAGCACACCAGGGAGGTCCTCTGGGCGGCGACAGCACCAGTGGGCGGGGGGGTGGGGAGAGGGCATCTGAAGGAGCCCTCACATGCGGCTGGCACCATCCTAGATGTTTTCTCAGGTTCGCTGTGCTCCCTGCTGGAAACCTTTCTCCACCTCGTTTCCGTTTTACAGATAAGGAAACAGGCTCAGAGAGGTAAAGGGACTTGCCAGGGGCTGCGCAGCTGGTATGGGGGAGAACGGGAATTCGAACCCAGGCTGTTAAGAACTGACAAGACAAAGCACGAGGCTCTGGCATTCCGTGTCTCCAGTGGGGAATTTGGACTCCCCATGGCACTAACTCTGTGATCTGGGGCAAGTCACCACACCGCCCTGCCTGTAGTTTCCCCACCTGGACAACAGGGAGGGCATGTACCCCAGTCGGTTTCCATGGGGACCAGAGGAGATGACACACAGAAAACACTAAGCACCCTCCTTGGGACACAGTCCATTTTAAAGGGACATTTTAAGTGACCGGCACTAACAAGGCATCCGGGTGCAGGCTCGGAGATGCCATTCGAACAACCCTGCTCTCAGAACCCCTGTGACGGGAAGTCAGGGACAGAGCCACGTGATGAAGCCGCTCCCTTCCCAACTCTCACCACTGCCAGGTGAACCTCAGGAGTCCCACGGACACGAGGGGCGCACACCCCTCACCACCCAAACCCTCACTGTCCAAACAGCTCTGACTAGCAAGAGACACCTGGATATTTTGTTTTGTTCTGAACTATACCCTATGGCAGTATTTGCAGGCTTCTGCGTGCATCAAAATTGCCAGGGGTGCTTTTGCAAATGCCAGTTCTCAGGCCCCTCCTCCAGCTCCCAATCCCCCAAGTCTGAGTTGGGCCAGGATGCTGCACTTCCAACAAGCCCTCATGGGGATTCTGATGCAGGTGGTCCAGGAAGCACCCTTTAAAACCATTGCCCTCTACCTTTCACTGCAGGCTGCCTGTGGAATATTCCAGAAAGAGCACTGGTCAGCATGTTTTCTGCACTCCAGGGAGAGGGTGACTGATGAGTCAGCTGAGGAGTCTAACTCTGTGGCTACTCCGCCTCCACACAATGGCAAAGGGACATCAGATGTTGCAGCTGGATGGCACTGGCCACGTCGGCGCCCTGGCTCCCTCTGCATCAAGGCCCTACTCAGCGCACCACCAGCCGAGAGTGACAGGTGCCTGCGTAGGCCTTCCCACAGAGGGGCCGTGCAAGTGCCAGCAAACTGAACATTCGGGTAGCCACCCGCCACTCTACAGCTGATGAACTGTCACATGAATTAAACAGCATCCCCCATGAGTCAGTGAATGGGTCATCCAGACCTCCTCCCTACCCCAGTGCCAACATCCAGTCAATCACCACATCTCCAGATGCCCTCCCCCCACCGCTTCTTTGCAAGTGGAGACACGGCTTGGGAGACGATAACCACCCAGCACTTCCCATATCCTAAATTCCTTCAGACCACCCCCAGCCCCAGCGCCTCAGAAGACACCTAGCACAGAGAAGATTCTGAGTAAGACACGATGGGTGGGGTGCTGTCACCGATGACATCATGTCATACATAAGAGCCCAGTAATTCCCCCAAATATGTCCCTGGTACCTGAAAATCCACAGGAATTGGGCCATAGGGCACACTGAGGTTCAAGGCCTGGACGTCCTCCCGCTTCCTGATGTCCATCCAGGGGTTGTAGGCCACGGGAGGGAGGCCAGCAGGGACCTGGGGGTCAGGAGCCAGGGTGATGTTCTCCAAGGGATACAGCTTCTGAAACTCCTTGGGGGAAAAGCACACAAAGACACCAGGTTGTCATTCTTTCAGCAAAGGCACAAGGCTGGGAATCTCCGGGTCTTTCTATTGCCTTTTCTCTAAGCCCAGGATGTGTTTACACGGTGACTCACTGACACTCCCCAGGTAGCTTCCCCTACCTGAAGGTCAGGCCTAAGGTCACTGTCACAAGATGCCCATGGTAATGAAATCATGCCACTTGTTTCCTATAAACCAAGCAGCAACAGCTCTTTTTTCATACAAATCAACGTCATCCTATTTCTGTCCCCACTTCCTACTTCCCCTCCAGCTGGAAAAGGGGTAGGGGCTATTTCCAGTTCCCAAAACCTCCCTCAGGTTTGGCAACTCCTCAGGAGTGCTCACAAAACTTAGAACAGTCCTACCTGCGGCTGCCAAACACAATCAGCAAAGGGCAAAGCCACGTGAGTGAAGCCCAGGGAAAACCAGGCACAAGCTTCCAGAATCCTCTCCCAGTGAAGTCATACAGGATGTGCTTAATTCCCCCAGCAATGAGTTGTGTAACAACGTGTGTGAGATGCTGTTGCCATGGAAGCTCATTAGAGCCTCAGCACGCGGGCTGTTTACTGGGGCTGCCCACCCAGGCCCCCTCTGCCTGCACATATCGACGCCACAGACTTTAGGCGGGAGAGCAGGGGTATGCGTAAACAGTGTGGGCACAGGGAGCCACTCCTCGCTTGGGGAGCGGTGCGAACTCTCCCAGGGTCCAGGTTCCCAGAGCCCGGCCAAAGGCCAGCCTTGCAAGCAGGCCTTGCTAAGGAGAGCAGCTAGGCCGGCTAGGTGAGCTCCTGTCTGCACAAGAGGCAGAAGTGAGTCTCCCTCCGTCAAAGGGGGACAGATCCCGCTAGGAAGGTGAGATCCCCTGGGCCAATCGAAGCATCAAAGAGCACACCTTTGGCTCTCCACTCCCAACACAAATGAGGGGCATTCTTTACAAAGTCAAAAGAATGCGCTGCTCAGGCCCAGGGAAGACACAACAGGGAAAAACTGAAAAAGATTTTTAAAAAGAAGAGATTATACGCTCTAAATGATGGACAGGCGAGCACAGCACTCAGGTTGCAACGAGCAATGCAGCACCCTGTGTGGAAGGGGTCTCACGTGCCAGGCTCAGGGGGAATGCCAATTACTGAAGAGGGCTTCACGGCCCTTGGAATTGTGCCCCAAGGACTGTCCCTTACCACGGGCATCAGCGGCCAGCTCTGACTTCTCCATGTTGATGTTACCGTCCAACCCAACACGTGCTCCCCGAGTTCAAGGAAAAGAAATAAAACCCTCCAGTGGAGAGGGAGGAAGCCGAGCATTCCCAACAAGATTCTTACATGCCCTAAGCCTACTTCTTAGCCTTGACCTCTGAATCCCATCTTCACGCCACTAAGTACGATAGCACCATCAGGCACCCCTGGTGACCAGGGATGGCAGGACATGGCCCCACTACACCAACCCTTCCTTCAGCAAATGACACAGCTGTCACAGAGGTGTGGGGTCAGCTGTCAGGCAGCTCTTCACCTTGGGGTATCTGAAAGGGATGTGCGGCTTATGATACCCAACAGCCAGGAAGAAAGGGCGGGCCGATGTTTTCGTCTTTTCCAACAAGCGGATGGCTTGCTCAGTGCTCTGTTTGTCAGGCAAGGTGCCCTCTGGCACATCCGCCACATCCACAGGGCAAAGCAGGTTGGCATGGAGTTCTCCATCCGGCCCCCTACATGTCTTTCAAGACAAAACATATCAAGTCAGCTCTTTAAATGCAAGAAAGAGAAGTCACGAAGGTTGGTGTGCACACACAATGGATTTAGCATTCACAGCAGCTGCCCTCTAAGTCCGCCTCATGTACCCTGGCCGGGCACACACGAAGGAGAACTGAAACAGAGAAGCATCTCCTCTTCTCCAGGCAGAGGCCAGAAATCCCCAGCACTTAGCTTCTTGCTGTTAATCTTCTGTCTCCAGGTCATAATTAATTAAAGGAAACCCATGGAAACTAATGATCAAAACAAATCTGTCTCCAGCTCAATAATTTAAAAAAAAGCCAATTAAAAAATGGGCAAAGGACTTGAATAGATGTCTCTCCAGACAAGACAGATAAATGGCCAATAAGCACATGTAAAGATGTTCATGTCATTATTCATCATAGAAATGTCAGTCAAAACCACAGTGAGCTACCGCCCCACACGTGCTAGGATGGCTAGAAATTTTAGAACTGGACAATGACAAGTGCTGGCGAGGATGGGAAGAAACTGGCACCCTCATCCATAGCCACTGGGGGTGTGAAACAGGGCAGCTGCTGTGGAAAAACATGCCGGCGGTTCCTCAAACAGTTAAACAGAGCGTCATTACATAACCCAGCAATTCCACACCTAGGGAGACACCAAGAAAAATGAAAACCTAAGTCCACACAAATACCTGACCTAGCAATTCTACCCAAGAGAACAGAAAACTTAAGCCACACAAAAATGTGTCCGTGAATGTTTGTAGCAGTATTGTTAGCAGTAGCCACAGAGTGGAACCAACCCAAATGTCCACCAACTGGTGAATGGATAAATAACATGTGTTCTACCCACACAATAGAATACTATTTGGCTATAAAAAGTAACGAAGTTTTGGGGCACCTGGCTGGCGTGGTCGGTAGAGCATGCAACTCTTGATTTCAAGGTTGGGTTTTTTGTTTTTTTTTTAAAGATTTTTTATTTATTTATTTGACAGAGAGAGACACAGCGAGAGAGGGAACACAAGCAGGGGGAGTGGGAGAGGGAGAAGCAGGCTTCCCACTGAGCAGGGAGCCCGATGTGGGGCTCGATCCCAGGACTCCGGGATCATGACCTGAGCCGAAGGCAGACGCTTAATGACTGAGCCACCCAGGCGCCCAAGGTTGGGGGTTTGAGCCCCACTTTGGGTGTAGAGATTACTTAATAAAATCTTTAAAAAGAAAGTAATGAAGTTCTGGGGTGCCTGGGTGGCTCAGTTGGTGAAGCGTCTGCCTTCGGCTCAAATCATGATCCTGGGGTCCTGGGATGGAGCCCCACATCGGGCTCCCCTGCTTCTCCCTCTCCCTCTGCCTGCCACTTCCCCCTACTTGTGCTCTCTCTCTCTCTCTCTCTCTGTCAAATAAATAAATAAAATCTTTAAAAAGAAGATCGTAACACCCGTCTCTGTCAAGTCATGATCACAGACAAAACCCACAAACTTCACTGTATAACCAGCTTGAAAGAACGTGAGGTATACGCAACAATTAAGCTTAATCCCGCTACACAGGGAAAAAGCAGTTCCTCTTCAGAACAGTACCCCTTTCACATCCTTACCTTGGTGTTTTCATACTTTTCAGAGGAGGGATGATAAGGTGGAATAGACCAACTATACGGAGAATCATCACTATAATTGGAAGATATTCCTTAAGGGGGGGAAAAAGAAAGTCATTAAATAAAACCTGAAGGGTCCTTCAATGCCCTCCCCACTCCAAATCAAAACTTTGTGAACAGCTATAGAAGTATCATCTCCCTTCTTTGGGACTTTTTCCTCATCTATAAAATCAAGAGCTTAGGCAGATGATGAGAAGTCCCCATTAAAGCCAACTCTCTAGGTTTCTATTTGAGTACTAGGCATCTGACCTCCCGGTCCCTTAAGCCCTGGCAATTCATGCTAGGCTCTGAGGAAGAAACCCAAAAGGGTAGGATCGGCCAGCCTGCTACAGCAACGCGGCCCTACAGAGCCCTTGCTGGAGCCTCTCCCAGACCCTACAAAGAGGCAGCAGTACCACCATGCGCCAGGTGCAGAAGGGGAGGCTCAGGGAAGGCCAGTGCCTAGACTGATACCAACCACAAATTAGATAAGCGAGCTGGGACTCAAACCCAGGCCTTAGGACCCCAGGTTCAGTGCTCATTCATGAAGCAGAAACCCGGCCCTAAGTGCAGCAGTTTGTAGTCCATTTGGGAAGAGAAAAGAACAGTGAAACTACAGAAGGCTGGCCAGCCATCTAGAGAGCAGAAGTGCCGTGTAAGTGGGGGGGCCACAGAGGTGATGGGTCAGCGAGGGCTGTGAGGAGTCGGTGAGGCTTGTGTGGGATCTGAAGGGAAGCGTCGCCTAGGGGGATGAGACAGGAGGAGCCGAGACGGTAGTGTAGGTAGAAAGAACCACAGGAGAAAGCGTCACCAGCATAGTGACCGTCAGGCTCCAACAGGCAGCACCAGGCAAGGTGGGGCTGGAGGGACAGGGGGCGGTGGGTGCAGGGCTTATCAACACAGCAAGCACAGTGGAAAGAGCAGCGCGGGCCAACAGAACTGGGTTCAAATCTCAGCACCGCCCCGTATTACCCGCGCAACCTTGCACAAGCTCCTTGACTTCCGTAAGCCTCAAGTTCCTCCTCAAGCAATGATGCTGATGCTAAAACCTCCCCCAGCCTGCTGCTGAGGAGAGGACTGCGGGAGCGGCCAGCACAGGAACTGGCACGTCCCTGGCAGTCGATCAATGGTAGCTGCTGTCTTCCTTGAACAGGTCCCTGCCTCGCAGGCAAGGTCGTGAGAACAGAGACCCAGCTGAAAAACATGTTTCCACAAGGACTGCAGCCTAAGCTCTCGTTCTCTGGGTAAGACGTGCTGCTTACAGCCTGACTCCACAATCTAATAATCAACACCACTCGGGCCTTCCTTAGCCTCCCTTCCTGAAGCACGGCCTTCCCTCTGCCCTACTTCCTCTTCTCCCCAAACGTGTCTCTCCCCTCCTGCTGTGCTCAGTCAGGCAAAGGCTGTCAGGGTGTAAGCGCCAACTGCGGAAAGTTCTGATGGTGGGCTTTTGGCGACACATGATTCCTGACAGAAACACTTTCCAAAACTGGGCCCCACTTAGCCCATCCAAATGCTGTCCTCAACCTGGACTGGCCAGCTGGGTTCCAGAAGGCTGCTGAGCCTGCTGATATCACCAGTGAGCAAAGGCAAAGCTACTGAAAACGTTCAAGTCATCGTCCTTAGCAATAAGCACTACTGTCGTATAAAGTGGGCTTTCAACCCACTTTCACACCCTTGAACTACCGGAACTGGGACGCTACCCTGGGAGGTAATCCAAGCAGCTATGACTCATTTGCCAGGGAAGGAATCTGAGGCTGAGAGAGGAAGAACGATTTGCCCAAGGTGAACTGCACAGCTAAGAAGTGGCAGAGCTGGGACTGGAACCCGAGAGCCTGAATCCCTGGTACCACTGTCCATCGGTTCCCTCTACAGAGACATTCATCCCAGCAGTACGTGTGACAGTGGAGACCTGAAATCAACTTGAGACTAAAGTACAGTGGATTTGTATGTGAGACGACTGTGCTGTTGTTAAAAAGTGACATGCATGAAGGGCAGCCATATAGCGAAAAGTTTGTTTAAAACGTTCACAACATAAAACTGTATACACAGGAAAATCTCAAATCAGAAAAAGAATACGCCTGGAATGAGGGAACATCAAACTTCAGCCCTCCTCAGTGTGGTGCAATTACAAGTAATTCATATCCTTTAGTTTATACTTTCCTTTTTTTACCCCCAACTTTTTGTCAAATAACCATGCATTACTTCAATAGGTTTTTAAAAAGTTTTATTAAAGTTTGTGTTTCAGCACTCTCATTTTGGCATTAAAAAGAGCCAGTTTATCAGGCCGTGTTGGAAGTCAGCACTGGTGGCCCCTGGCACCCTTCAGGCCTTGGGCACCAGCTTACACTCCTCTTGCTGACCTAACTCACAGAGGATGGGCAGCCGTGCCCAAGTGCGGGCCTCTTCACTGGCAAATCCTCATAGCCACCCTGCTCTCCCTTTACTGACAGGGATCCCGGGGCACAGAGGGTCAGTCAGGTGCAGAGCTGGACTCGCACCCAACACTGCCACCTCCCCCAGCCAGTGCCCTTCCTTCCGGCTGAGAAGCCAAAGGAACCAAACAGCACCACGACTAGTTGCCGAAAGAAAAAAGTCCTACTACCCTTTTTCACTTTCGGTGAGAACATGAAGCTAAGGTGAGAAGTAGTATTTTGTACAAAGACAGCAGTGACTAAGGAGGTGTCCACCCAGCCCAAACAGGCCTCTGCAAACACAGCCCCAGCCCCCAGAGGGGGATTCCAGCCCTTGGGCACAAAACAGAAAAGAACCCAGATTTTGGACAGCAAACAGTACCAGGGTGAAAGACTTTTCCAACCGACATGGTCACGTAGCCATTCTCCTTGAAGTACTGGGGGATGGTAGAGAAGTTTCCAGCATGTACCCTCCAGTAGGAATTGAAGTCATACAGGCGGGTGGTGTCTGGTCTCCTCCCAGTGAGGAAGGACACACGGCTCGGGGCACACACTGCTTGCTGTTAGGGAGCAGAAGCAGAGGGAAATGTCCTCAGAGGCAAACAGAGTCTGGATGCTAAAAGGTAACCAGGCAACCTCAAGAGTCCTCAGCAAAACAGCTTGGCAGCTGAGTCATGCAGATCAAAGCCAACCAGTGGGACAAGGGCCTCACTCAGACACCAGGAATAAGTCTTCCCACAAAGAGGCAGGAAAAGACTCAGCCCCTCAAACAAGCAGATGTTTGTGTCCTGTGTGATGGTGTCCCACAGGTGAACTGAAGCAAGGGTCTTAAAGGCTGCCCCGTGAGGGCAAGCTGCATGGTGCTTGCCCAAGGTCAGTCAGCAGACCTGAGAGTGCCATTCTGCAACACCCCTTCCTTCTCAGCACCAGGCAATCCCCTTTGGGGAAGAAAGCTGGGCAGGACCATCCTGAGCATGTTAGGGTCAAGGGACAACCTCTGCCCAAGCTTGAAGGCACAAGCTTCCTTGCCGGTACACAACCAGGTTTTCTCTACCACCATTTTCCAGAGATGTCTGGCCCAATCGGTGCCATCTAACCGTAGCTGAAAGGACCCCATCCCCTAACCCACTGCACAAAGCACACACCCACACCTAGAGGTCCCCAGACATACCTGGGCAAAGGCATTCTGGAAGAGGAGGCTGTGGGATGCCAGCTGGTCGATGTTTGGGGACCTTACGAGCTTGTCCCCGTAACAGCCCAGGGAAGGGCGCAGGTCATCCACGATGATTAGAAGGACATTCAGAGGAGCTGTATGGGAGGGAGGAGCTTCAGTGAGATCACCTGCACTGACAATGAACCCCCAGCCATGGTTGGTGCTAGGGTACTGAGAGGCCCTAGGCTGGCCCCTGCACCCTGGACAGCCCCGCCAACCAAGCCAGGGAGGGGGAGACTAGGGTTGTGCCTCAGGGAGGGTGGGAGTGGGTGCACAGAAGCTCCAGTCCCGGGTGGCAGAATTAGGCTCTGAGCATGGCCTCAAGCCTGGATGAGGGAGGGAGGGAAGGATAGAGGAAAGGAAAGAAGAATTTAGGGAGGGAGAGAAGGATGGGGGGAAGAAAAGATCCTGGGAGGGAGGAAAGGAAGGATGGATGTTATACGGAATAGTAGATGGGACAGAGACAGGAAGTTAAGGATGGACGTAGGCAGAGGAGGAGGTAGGGAGACCGCAATCTGAGCGAGGGCTAGGGCTGCACCTATGGTCCAGTTGCCAGGCGCCGCAGACTCAAGGGAGGCGCAGACCGAGGCCAGGACTAAGCCAAGCCAAAGCAGGCACCAGCCGGCCAGCAGCATTTCTGCCCCGGCGCGGTCACTCCGGGGCGACGGTGACAGGCTGCGGCGGACGGGCCGGACGCGGGCCCCACGTCGCCGACGCCGTCTGCGCGAAGCGGCCGCC